GATTTTACAGTAAGGTGGGGTGTTACACGGGTCCTCCGGTTGTCTGGGCCCCCTCTGAGCTTCCTCTTCTTCTGGTTTGTTGATGGTTGGGCTACTTTGGGCTGGGCTGGTGGCTGAGTAAGTGGCTGAACTGGTGTCTGGGTGGCTTCTCGTCGGATACTGGCATGGACTTCTTGTGCAATGGCAACTGCGCGGGCGTAGGTCTGGACGCCGTGACCTACGATGTTGTGGCAGACTGCTGGGCGGAGTCCATCAGTGAAACGATGGGCTCTCTTCGCCTCCGTACCCACAAGATCAGGTACAAAGGCTCCGAGACGGGTGAACTCTCTTTCGTACTCGTCGACAGAACGAGTACCCTGAGTGAGTGCCAAGAACTGGCGCTCCATGTCTGCTCGGTAATACGAGGGATAATACTTCTCTCGGATCAGCTCCTTGAACTGGTCCCACGTACAACCGTCTTTTTCACCGGGACGCATACTCCAATAGGCTTGCCACCAGAGTCGGGCATCACCGGTCAGCTGGATCTGGGCACATAACATGCGATAACGATCAGGGCAGTTCATGACCTCGAAAATAATCTCGACACCCTGAACCCATTCATTTACTACACGAGCATCTCCTTGGCCGGAAAACTTTTCTGGATGGTAGTAGTCGCGGAATAGGGCGACCACTGTGGCCTGTGGGAGTTCCTGGTGATCTGGCTCTCTACGAGGAGGCATCTGAACATTGAAAGGTTTAACATGATTAAATAATATAAGAGATTAACTGACTGATTGCTTAAGTACATAGATCTCTATACGAGTTGCTAATAACCCGAGAATACTAAAGTCGAACTATCAAAAAACTTGGACAATCGACTAAGTTCTGAACATACTCGAGCATCTTACTGATTTCTAGGGTCAAATATCTGATACCCTTTTACTGAGCATAGACTTAAGTATTCTTTTAAATATATAAACTGTAACTCAGCACTTACCTGATAGTCGGCGAGGCGTGAGCATAGCGTGGTCGGGTCTTTTCTGAAAAATTTCTGACTTTAAAAGTATTCAGATACACGAAAATGTGCTCTGATACCAATTTGTAACACCCCACTAGCCTACTAAAATCAGAGTGTGATTTTCGCAAATTCTTTTCTAACATTTACGTTTTAGTTGCGAAATATATCTCGGG